CAATCACTGTGGTAGGTGCGTTCTGGTGGAGAGTTGCAAACTACAGAAAGAAACAGCTGTCCAGTACTTCTTTAAGCAATGTCATCTCATGATGAAATCACGTAACCAAACAATCAAATCAAATCCTCGTAAGATACACTTGTTTTAACAGCTAGACCTCATCAGCGTGTCGGTGGTAGAACGCTCGCCAACCACGGGATCCCTGGCCAACGTATTCATACACCCCGCTGACCCTATAAATAAGGTCTGTACACGGTGGGGCGAAGGCTCAGTATGACGTTTGCAAACTCACCCCACTGCTACTGAAACTGCTAAGCCCTCAAAGTTGGAGCCATCTATTCCATACGGAACGCCAGGGAATAAAAATAAATAATAATGAAAACCGTCTACGGACTCCGTCTAGGAAACAACAATCGGAAAAGCCTACCGCAAAACCTTGCATCAGATCGATGAACCTGGGCAGCGATGATTCGAAATGTTCATGAAGACGGCTAGTCCTCAATCCTCTCCGTTGGAACTGATTACTCTGAAATGACTAGTCAGTTTGGAAAATTTCACTTTCATCTCTGATTTATTATTTCTACTCCGACTGTTTATTACAATTCCTCATGTTTTCTTTTTCCCTCCCTCTTTCTCCCTCCTTTGTTTTCTGTTGACGACGACATCAGAAACCATCCGTTGGTTCTGAACGATTAGATGAAGAGTTTACTGTTGTTCGTTTGTATATAAGTAAGTTGAAAACTGAGACGAAATTACTGCACTCACGTGTACGTCAATTGGAAGAGGAACGTGTACAACATGTACAGTTAGTGCGTAAGAGTGATGATGAATCTAAAGATCTTCGAAGGCAACTTCATGCTGTAAGTCAATTATATATTAAAACAAGATTTTGAGCGAAAAGTTGTTTTCGGTAACCTCTTCTTCAGGCTCTACAGTTATAAATCCATGAATAATAGAGTACATATAGCCAGCAAAGGCAAATGAAAATAATATCAGAAACTGTATTGGGGTGCATGTGTAAGTTGATATGACAGTCCATTAGTTAACATAGTCAATTATAAATGTGTATAGGGTGTTTAGTCAGAAAAATGTAATGAAGTGTGAATGAACAATTAGGTGATATAGTGTAGTTTTATAGTTAATAGAATACAAGTGTCCTTGGGGTGAGAAAATGCGATAACCACAAAATACATGTAAAGATACGTTAAAAAATGAGGCACTGGATGTGAGGGTTGACCGATAATGTCTAATGATAAAATAAAGAGGCTAAATTGTAATAAAATGCTACAGAATTGGTAGGTTTAGTATAAAATCATAAAGGTTGACAAAATAAGGGTAACAATAAGGTGAAATAAACTGGGTGGAGAAATGGATAATAAAGACACGATATCACGAAATAATAATAATGATAATAATAGTACGAAAAAATTATGATACTGGTGACCTTATAGTGGGCCAGGGTAGACAAAGAGAGTGAATAAGTTTTTTCTGTACACATAGATCTGATCTTTCTCTATTAATTTCTAAAGCCTCAGCTATGGCTAAAAGGCGTAATCGTGTGCCTTTGGGGAGATTGTTCGGTACACGATTACGCCTTCTAGCCATAGCTGAGGCTTTAGCGATTATAGAGAAAGACCAGATCTATGAGTACAGAAAAACTTATTCACTCTGAAACCTGTTGTGGGAAATATAAAGCTATTATCATGACTTACAAGCCCAGTGAATGTGTTCAAGGCTTTGAAGGCGTTATCTACTGGGTCTAGGGTTGTAAATATACCTAACTGAATGACAAATGGAACGAGATCCGCCTCCTGAATTTCTCAGTTATTCACTGACATAGTCGGATGGATGATGATGGAACGTAGTTGATAGAACTTTGATTGGATGCAGGAAATGTATGTGTGTAGCTCAGTGATTTGAGCAGACCATTGCATTCATCGCAAACGGATGTGTGATTGATGAAAGGAGGATTAACAGTTCGTGTGTGTGTTCTATTGAGAATTTATCAAAATACGGTGTGTTGAGGAGTTGAATTGAAGGTGACTATGCAGAAGTTTGTTTATGCAGCTGACCTATTATTCATTGGGGGTTTAGTCATTTAATTGCTAACCATTGTTTGATGGGTTGTAATACCTCCACAGCTGGCAAGATTTGATCATTTAGGTGTGTGTGTGTGTGTGAGTATGGATAAGTTATGACACTGCAGTAGATGTGCAACTCTGGTTAGCAATAAACGGTGTGTAGATGCAACTGATTAGTTGGCTGGTTGGTTGGTTGGTTGTTGAGTGGTAAAGATTTATAGTTATTCACACTCGACTCAAGTAATGTTTATATTTAGGTAGGTGTTATTTCTAATGTTACTTCAAAGCATTCCTTCATTTTTAATATGCCTTTGTGATTTCTTTTTCTACAGCCATATCAGTTAAGTCACACACCGTGACTATCAGTGGCAATAATATGTGCTCGAAACATCATTCAATTATTGATCAATACTGCATCATAACGGTGTGATATTTGAAATAGACCTATTTATTGTTGAATTACATTCTACCACGGTGTTCAATTTGTGCACTTACATACACCGGTAATTAGTGTCACACGTCCAGTCCTTGGTTTGTTGCAGACTTCAGTTGAAGTCTTGTGTCCAATCAAAGCACTGTGGGTTTCGTTTTTATAAGGAATGTAATCTGCCCTCAAAAGACCTACCAGAATGTAGCTAATGTGAGGGCTGTTTATAATGTTTAGTGGATGTAGGCAAGTAATCGTCATACAACTGTGGAAGCTTTTGTGTCTCATGTCATGGTTGCTGATTTGAACAAACTTTCACCCAGATAGGCTGTTGTATGAGCTAACACCAATCCGGTGACTCGGTGAAGAAAGGCCTCAAATTACCACTCACAACTAGACAGGTGGAAATAGAGATGAGGGACTATGGGCTGAAATTCGACTAGTTCAAGTCAGTGGACCACATCATCATCTCCACAACACACCTATCAAGAAACAGACAACTTACTCTTTATATTCTTCCAACTTCTTCTGTTTTTCGTTGAATTCATCACGTAGAGATTTCACCTGAGCAGCATAATACTCTGATTATCGTCTAAACTCTTCATCTAGCTTTGCTTGTAACGCTGACTGATCAGCTATTATTTGTTCACTTTCCTGACCAGATCCGGTGATCAATTGTTCATTAGCGCGTAGTTTCGCCAACTCCGCATTGAAGCTATCCACTTTCTCCTGCAATTGACGCTTACGTGATTCTGACTCGTCAATTTTATCGCTTAGGGTGCCAACTTTCACCTCAAACTTAACAAGAAAGAAAAAGAAATCACAAAGGCATATTAAAAATGAAGGAATGCTTGGAAGTAACATTAGAAATAACACCTACCTAAATATAAACATTACTTGAGTCGAGTGTGAATAACTATAAATCTTTACCACTCAACAACCAACCAACCAACCAGCCAACTAATCAGTTGCATCTACACACCGTTTATTGCTAACCAGAGTTGCACATCTACTGCAGTGTCAGAGCTTATCCATACTCACACACACACACACACACACCTAAATGATCAAATCTTGCCAGCTGTGGAGGAATTACAACCCGTCAAACAATGGTTAGCAATTAAATGACTAAACCCCCAATGAGTAATAGGTCAGCTGTATAAACAAACTTCTGCATAGTCACCTTCAATTCAACTCCTCAACACACCGTATTTTGATAAATTCTCAACAGAACAGACACACGAACTGTTAATCCTCCTTTCATCAATCTTACTTACTTACTTTACTTCGTCCATCTCCCACGGGAGGATGAGCGGTCTTCATGAACATTTCGAATCATCGCTGCCCAGGTTCTCGATCTGATGCAAGGTTTTGCGGTAGGCTTTTCCGATTGTTGTTTCCTAGACGGAGTCCGTAGACGGTTTTTATTATTATTAATTTTTATTCCCTGGCGTTCCGTATGGAATAGATGGCTCCAACCTTGAGAGCTCAGCAGTTTCAGTAGCAGTGGGGTGAGTTTGCAAACGTCATACTGAGCCTTCGCCCCACCGTGTACAGACCTTATTTATAGGGTCAGCGGGGTGTATGAATACGTTGGCCAGGGATCCCGTGGTTGGCGAGCGTTCTACCACCGACACGCTGATGAGGTCTAGCTGTTAAAACAAGTGTATCTTACGAGGATTTGATTTGATTGTTTGGTTACGTGATTTCATCATGAGATGACATTGCTTAAAGAAGTACTGGACAGCTGTTTCTTTCTGTAGTTTGCAACTCTCCACCAGAACGCACCTACCACAGTGGTTGGAACATAGGACTCACCGGTTACAAGACGGCGAGCTAGCTGGTAGACAGTTAAGATCGCTACTGGGTCCGGATCCGATGGCCTGTCCGTGAAGAATTCCAACTTCTGCCCATTCAGGATATCGTGCGCCACCAGTCTTCATACTCGACCTGCTGTACTTCACGCTGGTCATGACTTCCCACTAGAATCCAGGTAACTATTACTGCCTATCTGAATAAGGCTGGTTGCTGGTCAGCATCAGATTGACACCCAGTGTTGGTTTGCAGGGATTTCATTGGATTCGGGATGATGGCATCAGGTAGATAAAAAGTATTGGAAAACTTGTGAAGATTCCTAATCTCGGCCTACTGTGCATTCCCTTAATAAGTAAGGCGGTCGATGAACTAGTGCAGTTAGCCACTTCACCCTGCATATATAATACACTTGCAAACCGAGTTAGACTATTTGTTAGAGTGACGTACACGTGAGTGCAGTAATTTCGATTCAGTTTTCAACTTACTTATATACAAACGAACAACAGTAAACTCTTCATCTAATCGTTCAGAACCAACGGTTGGTTTCTGATGTCGTCGTCAACAGAAAACAAAGGAGGGAGAAAGAGGGAAGGAAAAAGAAAACATGAGGAATTGTAATCAACAGTCGGAGTAGAAATAATAAATCAGAGATGAAAATGAAGTTTCCCAAACTGACTAGTCATTTCAGAGTAATCAGTTCTAACGGAGAGGATTGAGGTTCAATAGTCTATTTAGCCCCATGACATTTAATCCTAACCGGTGAACTAATAAACGTAGTCGACAAAACCCTCACTCAATAACTATCAATCTAGCTGACACAAAACGATGTCATCTGTTAAAACAGGTCAGCTGAAATATTCTTGACTGTAATACAATGTCACAGGGGTTCATATCTCCATCTTCAGATTTCCTAAAACAAAATATTCACTTTCAGAAGGTATCACAACATCATGTAAGGTTGATGATGACAAGGGTGATGCATACAGAAATGGACTAGCCATTTACACAATTCTAGTAACACTAGACCATGAGCTGAACTTATTTTTTGAGGGATGGGTGAGACAGGACTCGAATTTGAAGTAATACCGCCTTTTTCAACAGAAAGTCAATGAAATAGAATAGGCAACACAGTAAGGCCACTGTCGCTTTCCGTTATGTACCACAAACAACTTTACACTGCAGAAAGTTGGATGTATTAGTCTCTGTCAATTATATAGAGAACTTTCTTTGCCAGCCACATACATGTACGTCTCAGTTGATCACTTTCTGTCTCAGAAAGTTTCGAGAAATATTCCCTGATAAGAAGAGACAGTAGTCGAACGTACTAACCAACTAACTAACTAATTTGACTACATTTCCCTTCAATTACACTCACTAATATAAACATGTTTTCTCCCCTGTACAGAATCAAAAAGACGGTTACAGAGGAGAAAATATTCTTTTCGATCAAGTCATCAACTCGGCCGTAAATTCGTGTGTGGGTGAGAAAGCCTCATAATTATTTCCGGTCGGTGAAGAATCAAATTAATAAAATTACAAAATCTAATAAACACGAAGATTGGATAATACAAAAGATAACACGAATATAATCACTGAGGAAGGATGTCCATTTTGCCCAATTACGGATTAAAACCGCATTGATAACACAATAGGCAGCAAGTTCGGATGAAATAATACTGGAACTGAATGGATGTTTTTATGATAATTGACTGACTGAATTTCAACACATGTTTGCATAGAAGAACAAACAAATCGGTAGACATAGTCCTTCTCTCAAAAGTGATATCATCTTGCGATGACGCCTTCCATGGCTTCAGCACGTGCTACAAATGCTGTCTTGATAGCTTCCATACCATTCACTGTCTGACAGTCTTCTGATTCAAAGCGAAACGAGAAGTGGTCAGCCCATGATGTGGCGCCGTAGAAGGATAGTTTGTGCGCTGCGTTATCATTCATTTGAGTGCGATCCCAGACGTCACTAGGTAATGATCCATCCCATCATCTTACTTCTTATTATTTACTCCACTAATGTAATTTAATGTGGCAACAACAGCTTATGCAAATAGGCCAGATTCTATGCGACGATAACACGCTCATCCCGCCATAGTGAACTTATCAAAGCAGTGTATGCGCCATGATTACTTCCCTACTCAGGGAGCTCACATCCTTAGAATAACAACCCATTCAATAATAAAACAAAATTCATAAATACTTTTAAACCTACCGTGATTCGATCATTCAAGCATTCACCAACATCAATTAGATCCTTCAACAGGCTAGACATCATTTCAGCATATTTCTTCTTCTGATTTTCATGTGCATCCTTCAACTGTGACAGTTCACAGTCTTTACTATGCATTAAACTGGTTTGTAGTAGCAAGGTTTCCTGAGTCTCTTCAAGTTCTTTCGCTTTCGCATTAATCTCCTGAGCCTTTTGGTCATAATTCATTGCTAATTCTTCTAAGGCTTGCAGGACTTCTTTCGCTTCATCTTTCCTCGACTGGTATTTAGCCTTGACACACACACACACACACACACAATAAGGGGAGAAAAAACTGCATTTAGACGGAACATTTCACAAAAATTACAAAACTGTGAGCATAATAATCCTATCAATACAATACTAGGTGAGTTATGTTGACTTCGGTGAGTATTTCTCCCACAGAGCAGACGGGATGAGGAAGAAGGGAGGGAGGATGCAGTAAGGATGAAAGTGGATAACTGATACCACCTAGAATATAAAGGGATTAATGGACAGGCAAAATCCAAGTTTGCTGGTTGTCAAAGACGAATGGCAGTCATCATGTGCTTTACAAAGAAGAGCGAAATAACTTCAGTACTCTAATACCCGCCGATTCATCACAATTATGATGAAACGGTTATACTTAAAACAAACACCTACACTTCAGTCTGAAAGTTTCCACAATCTCCTCCCACATCTCATCTATTTACAGTCTTTCTCAACTTAATGTGTGAGTACCACGTGAGTTCAGTAATTTCACTCATCCACTATGAATGACGATAACTCATGCCTACACCATCATAATCATCATCACCAGTGAACCTCAGTCATCATCACTATCATTATTATTTTAAATTTATTGATGACTACATCGCAGTTTTTATCATGAGCAAACATCACTCAGAGAAACATTGGAGAACCAGGAGTGAATACTGTTGGCGCAAGAAGGAGGACCGTTCCATCCCAGCTTCGGAATATTCAGCAGTACGCACCTTGGACCTACAGCTCATAAGTCAAGCTCCCAGACCATTCTAACATTGGGATCCAATACAATGCCTTATGATTTCTATTCTCCACTTTCTTTAGCGTCGGTGTTGTTTTTCTTCTTTTTTCTCTCAACATGTTCAGCTTTCTCTTGACTTTTCGAATGACAATGAAGAATGTGGATATTTGACCGTCTACGATGACAAATGATCTGCGAACATTATTGGTCCCATATCTTACAATTCCTTCGTGAATTACGCATTACCTTCCGTCACGACGTAACTTGGATTACAGTTGTGGAATACACTCTTATACCAATGAAAATGAATTAATTCACCATACTTCACGATTGTAACTTACAACATAACTGATCGTGTCTGTAAAAATAGCCTTCATTTCTTGAAAACACTCGCTTAGAAGAAAATATCTACTATCATTATTATTATTCTACATTGAGTACAATTCACTTGTGATGTTACGATGAAAATGCTGACAAAACTATACAAGTGTATCACTTATTTTAAATTATTACCAAATTTGGATATAAATCAAGAATAAGACTCGATGCCGTACACACTAAAGTTATATGGGGAAGTGACTTCGAGGTGTATTTTTCTCCCAAGTATTTGCAACCCATCCAAAACATACTTCGGTTTATTTTTGTCAATGCGAAGACAATATTTCTATATATCTTGATGTGCTCCATTGAATGACTGGTTATCATATTGTTCCCACAAACCAAAGACAAAAACGTCAGAAACTAAATTTAGGTAATTTAAATAATACTTATCCATGCCTGTACATTTGATGTGCCCTACACAGGTAGGAAAAACAAATACATTTTATTAAAACATTATTATTAAGTATGATTGCTAATCGTATAATTAATTAGTTAGTTAGTAGGTGAGGAAACCAAAAAGAAAGCAACCAATGAACCGCCAAACCACCAGGGACGAACGCATATGTATATGTTACATATACTTCTTCGTTCTTAAGGCTCCTCACAGTCATTTTAGGTATTGTGTATAGGCATCGTGGACATTCTACTTGTTGTAAACATAACAGGTTGGATCGATATATATATATATATATATATATATATATATATATAATGCAAAAGGCTTTTCACCAGTAGTCTTTCAAGATGGAACTCCGAAAGAAAGCATATGTACATATATAGAAAAATAATCATCACTACGGGTATATGAGAGATTATGATGACCCTGGAATATCTGGTCGTGTCACTGCCGTCCCACCACCGCCAGCAGTGGACAGTGCTGCATGTCCTGCACGTATTATTATTATTGTATCCTTTAGTTCCTAGAGGAACATAGGGCTTCAGCTGCGCACCTCCATTGACTTCGGTTTTCTGACAACTTTTTCACCCTGCTCCAGGTCTGCCCACATGCTTTCATCTCCTCTTCACATGACCTCCTCCAAGTCACCCTTGGACGACCAACTCGCCGCCTCCCTTTCGGGTTCCACTCGAGGGCTTGTCTAGTGATGTCACTTGATGGTTTCCTCAGCGTATGGCCAATCCATCTCCATTTCTTTCTGCCTATTTGTTTCACAATCGGTTCCTGATTGGTTCGCTCCCAGAGATCCCTGTTGCTGATCTTTTCTGGCCATCTGATCTTGAGTATTGAGCGGAGACAGTTGTTAATGAAGGTTTGAAGTTTGTTTGAGATGCTCTTTATGACTCGCCAAGTCTCTGATCCGTATAGTAGCACTGACTTCACATTGGAGTTGAAAATCCGGATCTTATTTTTGATGCTGAATGCTGTTGACCTCCACACAGATTTGAGAGTAATGAAAGCTTGTCTTGCTTTTCCGATTCTGGCTTTGATGTCCTCGTCAGTTCCGCCTGTAGTTGAGACGATGCTTCCCAGGTAGGTGAAGGAGGTTGTTTCTTTCAGGTTCTTCCCATTTATGCTTATTGTGGTCTGTTGTTGCTGTTGATGTTGGCAAGGAATCTTCATCATCTCTGTTTTATCTATGTTCACGTGAAGTCCTATCTTTGATGCTTCTTCTGCCAACTTGTTACTTTTCATTTGCATATCTTCCAGTTTATGGGAAATCAGACATATATCATCGGCGAAATCCAGATCCTCCAAGTCTTTTGTGTCAGTCCATTTTATGCCTGTTCCCTCGTTGGTTGCCGTTGTCTGTCGCATTATCCAATCAATTGCAATCAGGAAGATCATTGGTGATAGTAGACAGCCTTGCCTCACTCCCGTCCTCACTTCGAAGGCTTCCGTAAGTTTCCCGTTGTGGATTACTTGGCATGCAGCATTGTCGTATAACTGTTGGATGAGGTGTATAATTGTCGATGGGACCCCGTAGTAGCGAAGTAGTTTCCAAATGACCTCTCGATCGACGCTGTCGAAGGCCTTTTCAAAGTCGATGAAGTTGAGATAGAGAGGTGACTGCCATTCCAAGCTTTGTTCAATGATGATCCGTAGAGTGGCGATTTGATCAATACATGATTTGTTTCTCCTGAATCCAGCCTGTTCCGGACGAAGTTTTTCATCTAGGGCTTGTTTGATTCTCTCCAGGATGATGCGACTTAGTATCTTGCTTGGAATGGACAGAAGCATAATTCCACGCCAGTTTTTACATTGACTTAAGTCTCCTTTCTTTGGAAGTTTGAATAAGTAACTGTTCTTCCAATCCTCGGGTACTTTGCCCTCTTTCCACACCTTCTCCAGTAGTGGTGTCATCAAGTCCGCTGTTGTCTCTGGGTCTATTTTCAAAGCCTCTGCTGGGATTCCATCTGGTCCCGGTGTTTTCCCAGTTTTAAGCATCTTGATTGCATTCAGGACTTCTGATTTCGTCGGGGGGTCAGTGTTCACTGGTAGTTCTGCTTCCGTTGTTGGTATTGCTGGACGTGTTGTAGGTGGCGGACGATTTAGAAGTCTTTTGAAGTGTTCAACCCAGTGCTTTCTCTGTTCCACCTCTTTGGTGATTGACTTTCCATTGTCGTCCTTTATTGGCTTAATCTGTGTCGAACGTTTGCCCGAAAGGTTCCTAGTTGTTTGGTAGAGTGTGGCGAGGTCTCCTTTGCCTGCAGCTTGTTCTGCTTCGTTTGCCATGGTTTCATAATATTTTCTTTTGTCTTCCCTGGCACTTTTCTTCACTCTTTTGTTCAGTGTATTGTAGCTTGCATTCAGCTCCTGTTTTTGTTGCTCGTCGTAGCACTGGATAATCTTTTGCTTCACTGTCCTTCTCTCTTCTATTAGTTTCCAAGTGTCCGTAGTGAGCCACTGTTTGTCCTGTCTCTTTTTTCTGCCTAGAATTTCTATGCAGGTTTGGCTCCACACCGTTTTCAAGTTGTTCCAGTGCTTTTCAACGCCGACCTCTTCGCTAGTGTTGATTTGTGTCTCAGCTTTGTCCTTTATGCTTGCAATGAAGATGTCCTTTGTAGCCTGGTCCTTCAGCTTTTGAGTGTTGAACTTGGCTTGTGGTCTATCTGCAGCTCCTCCTTCTTTGAAAGCTTTTAATTTGATTTGGATTGTCCCTTGTACGAGATAGTGGTCTGAGCCAACGTCTGCTCCTCTTCTTGCTTTTGTGTCCAGTAGGCTGCGCCTCCACTTCCTT